ATTTATTTTTGGGACAGAGAGAAACAGAGCATGAACGGGGGAGGGGCAGAGAGAGAGGGAGACACAGAATCGGAAACAGGCTCCAGGCTCTGAGCCATCAGCCCAGAGCCCGACGCGGGGCTCGAACTCACGGAGCGCGAGATCGTGACCTGGCTGAAGTCGGACGCTTAACCGACTGCGCCACCCAGGCGCCCCTGGAATTTTATTTTAAATTCCAGTATTGTTAACGTACAGTGTTACATTAGTTTCAGGTGTATGATATATGATCCCACACTTCCATGCATTTCCCTGGTTTGTTCTTTAGCACAGTGCCTCTCATAGGTCACCATGAATGTTTGCTACTGATGTCTGAGGGATCCTTTTTCTCATGTTCAGAAAGTACTGTGCCAATCTAATTTATTTTGCATTTTTATTATAAATGAGCATGCAGTGCCATCACGTACCTTTTTTTGGTGTCTTTTAAAATGTCTTAGCTTTTAACCCATAAATATAACTGAATTCATTCATAGGTTTCCTTTTGTGATATTATCCCTGCATTCCTCAAGTAAACAGGGTTTACAGGAGTGGTCATCATGTATTACTCTTCTGGTGTCCTCCTAGATTCAACATGTCTGTGGTTTATTTGGAAATTTTGTGTTTCCCTGTATTTGTGACACTGTTCTCAGTTTTCCTTTACTGTACTGTCTTTGCCACTTTGTGGTGTCGGAATATAACCTCATAAAATAAGCTGGATAATGTTCTTTTCTGTATTCCTGCAACTATTTATTAGACCAGGAATGATTTTTTCCTCTGAAGGTTTGTAAGAACTTACTGGGATGATCTCTTCAGCTTTGTGGGTTTTTTGGTCCTTAGTTGTTTGACCACTTTTTCATTTAGGTTTTGGTCAATGTATTGGTTTCCTGTGTCTTAGGACATTTTTTTATTTTTATTTTTATTCATTTCTTTTTTTTTGAGAGAGAGAGAGAAAGAGAGAGAGAGAGAGAGAGAGAGAGAGAATACTAAGCAGGCTCCACGCTGAGTGAGAGCAAGACACGAGGCTTGATCTCACAATCATGAGACCATGACCTGAGCCAAAATCAAGAATCACCCAGGTGCCCCTTAGGACAATTTTTTAGTAATTTATATTTTTCCAAAAGTCATATATTTCACTCAGGTCTATTGGTTATAAGAGAGTATTCTCTTAAGCTTCTTAAAATCTCACTTTTCTCATTGGCAGTGTTGTGCACTTGCTAAATCTTGATGATATTTGGTGGAGATTTGTCTGTTATATTGAACTCGAAGAACCAGCTTTTACATTTGATCTTTTGCTCTTGATTATTTCTGCTTTGGGAGGAGGGCTTTATTTGCTTTCTGATCCATTAATGTCTACTTTGAGTATTAATCCTCTCTCCTTTCTATTGTTGAGGGTTTTTTGCAGTTGAAAATGTACTTTTTTTTTAAATTTTTAACATTTATTCATTTTTGAGAGACAGAGAGAGACAGAGCATGAGCGGGGAAGGGGCAGAGAGGGGGAGACACAGAATCTCTGGTGCCCCAAAGTGTACTTTTTAAATTAAATTTTATTATTATTTTTTTTAAGATTTTATTTTTGAGTAATCTCTACACCCAATGTAGGCCCGAACTCACAGCCCCAAGACCAAGAGTCACATGCTCTACTGACTGAGCTAGCCAGGCCCCCCCTCGATTTATTATTATTTAATTTTATTACAAAAGAAATACATGCTTGCTGAAAAAAAGTTCATACAGAAGCATATCAAGTGAAGAATGAAATTCAAACTCCCCCCCTCCCCTCCCTTGATCCCTTTCGTCCCCATAGATAGTGGTAAATATTGAGGGGGAAAATCTCTCTAGAAACAGTTCTACTTTTCCTATGCATTTTTGTATATGTGGGTTTGTTTCATATTAAATCCTTTCTTGCTCCCATTTCTGGATGACAAATCAACAGCCAGGTAACCAATAGCAATCACTGTATCTCAGCGGTTGGCTGGACAGAGAGAGGCAGGCGCTTCTGGATTAAGAGCTCTGTGCGGTCAGGTTGGTGGCTGGGGCAGCAATCACTGAAGGCCTCTTCTCTCGCTTATCTGTCTTCGGGCTGAGAAGGTTCAGGGAGCTGGGACAGGAACCGCAGAGGCTTCTCAGGCACCCCTGTCCTCATGTGGTCTCTCCATTTGGTGTCCAGCATGGTAGCTTCAGGGTAGCCAGACTTCTTTCGGGGAAGCTCAGAACTTCAATGTTATATGCCCCTCTAGGAAGAGCTAGGAAGAAGCTTATGTTGCCTCCATTAATGTAGCTGCAGAAGTCACGGAATCATTTCTGCTGCTTCTTACTCAAGACAGACACTGAGGCTGCCCAGGTTCAAGGGTCAGGAATGTAGGTTGGTGGGAGGTGTGACAGAGAAGTTGCAGAAACTCTCACACATGGCTGTGGCTTTAACAAAGTGGTATTACTGTAAAGGGTTAATGCTATATATATCACTCTGGGACTTCTCATTTTCTCCTGGAGCTTTCTTCATGTCATTATGTCATACATCCACCCACTGCATTCTTTGTGATGGGTGCATGGGGCTCCATGACATGGCTATTACATAACTGATCAATATTTCTCTACTGATGGACCCCATTTTCCCAGTTTTCATCTCCCTCTCTCTGTGCCCTCCCCCACTTGCACTGTCTCTCTCTCAAAAATAAAGTTAAAAAAACATTTAAAAAAAACAAAAAAGAAGAAGAAGAAGTGGCTTCACTTACTCATGCTGTAGCAGACAGTGGCAGACCAGGCTCTCATTCTCTCTCAAGGGCTTTATTTCTGGACAAAGCCCTTGACATTCAGATGTGAGGGGCTCTGGTTCTCCCTCGTTCACAACAGCAGAGAATTTCCCCTGGAAAATGAGATGGGACCATTTCACCACAATTTAGGGAAGGAGGGGGTCAGAATGTCAGTTAAGGTTACTTACCACCTTAGTCTAGCCACTCAGGCCTCTTTTTTCTTTTTTTTTCTTTATGTTTATTCTTTTTTTTTTTTTTTTTTTTTTTTTTTTGAAAGAGAGCATGAGCAGGGGGTACCTGGGTGGCTCAGTCAGCTGAGTGTCCGACTTCGGCTCAGGTCATGATCTCACAGTTTGTGAGTTCAAGCCCCACGTCGGGATCTGTGCTGACAGCCTGGAGCCTGCTTCAGATTCTGTGTCTCCCTCTCTCTCTGCCACTTCCCCGCGCTCGCTCTCTCTCTCTCTCTCTCTCAAAAATAAGTAAACATTAAAAAAAATTTAAAAAAAAAAAGAGAGAGAGCATGAGCAGAGGAGGGACAGAGAGAGGGGGCTGGAAGGGACAAAGGATCCAAAGCAGACTCTGCTCTGACAGCACAGAGCCTGATGGGGGGCTCGAACTCATGAACTGTGAGATCATGACCTGAGCTGAAGTTGGATGCTCAACCAACTGAGCCACCCAGGCGCCCTCCACCCCTTTTTTTTTAATTGCTCTATACCCAAAGAACTTCACTGATCTTTGTCAACAACCTGCTTAGTGAATAAATATACAAAACTAGTCTTGACGAGAGGGTAAAACTTCAGAATCTTCCCTTAAATCCTGATTTGTGATAAGTTTTTCTTCTAGAAGTTGGCGGGGTTCTCTCTCTCTTGGTTTGTTTGTTCAGTTGATTACTATTTTTGTAGAGGTGGTCAGCCCGACTAAATGTGTGTAGGAAAGAGACGGGAAGGTAAATGCCCTGAATTTTAAAGATGTATGGTTTACAGAAAACAGAAAAAGTTTCTCCTATTTAATACTTGTACATTTTGTGTCGATCAGGTTGGAGTGATCGATTTTTCCCTCTACCTTAAGGATGTACAGGGTCTTGATGGCGGCAAAGAGTAAGTAACTGCATGCCTGCTGCTGTTCTTCACAATTTTAATGAAATTCTGGGAAAGAATGCTACGTTTGTTTTGCTTTGTTCGACCTTTTCATTTTCAGCAGGTATTTTTTAGTCACAGAGGTAATACATGAATGTGCTCATTGTGCAAGGAGCTAAGCTCTGCAGGGTAGAAAGGAATGTCCCCATTCACATTGCCCCCTCATCTCCAGCTCAATCCCGTGCCTGCTCCTCCCTCAGAGGAAGCTGCTCATGTCTCCTTCCACACCTTTTTTAAATGCCTTGCAGGTGTATATTTATTGGTTGTATAATTTGCCTTATGGTTTGTTTGAATATAAGTGGGATGGTACCATTATAGGTACTCCCATATATATATATATATATATATATATATATATATATATA